CCCACACCCACACCCACCCACACCCACACCCACACCCACACCCTTTTTTATAACTGCCATTTATTGCGTATTCCACAAAATCAACGTCGTAGTCAAGAATCTCGACTGATGCCGAAGGTCAAACTGGCTCTTCTATCTCTTGGATATCAAGTTCCTTCGGGAATCGTAAAAGATCTTATTGTGAATACCCATACAAATCGAATAAAATGAAGACGTTACTTGTGTTCTGTAAAACCTGGACGAAAAGTTCGACAAATCTGTGATAATTGTGGACAAAATGTTTGTCTTTCGCATTCCAGCAGCATCACAGTAGTAACTTGTTGAACATGTGAAAAGAAGAACTAAAAATTTCTCGAAAACTATCAAATAATGACAACTTGATCCACATAGTAGAGACATTTCTGTTTTAAACTTTGTTGATCATATACAAAAGAAGAAGATAAAAATAAACATCATAACAACTAATATCTCGTTTTCTTATTCATAGACAACTGTATGTGCTAACATAGGGTATTCGTACCGCAGACTAAATGTACTGGATGTATGATTTTTTTACTTGCACTTCCATTCTGTTATGAAACTAGTATAAGTGAATCCTTTTCTTCGCATCGTGCGTTCTTATATTGCCTCTATAAGAAGCGATAAATAGGTCTCTAGGGAGAAGAGCATTTGAAAATTTATAGTATATAAATAAATACCTTACGTAAAGCAAAACCATCATTTTTTTGTAATTTTATGGGATGGGTCCACGCGGACCCCAGGACACTGTTGAAGTTATAAAATGAGGACGATAACCGAGGGTTAAATTTTAAATTGCTGCAATTCGATTCTACCTACAAATTTGAGAAAGTAAAATGAAAGCTTAGCCAAAAATCTAAGCTCTCATTAAACTATCATCAATATATTGCAGGAGAATCACAATTATTTCCAAAATTAGAAGAGCGTACCACGACCGGTTTCGATCTTGCTCAAGGATCTCCTCAGGTGGCTTAAGACATCTTAATCAATTGCGAAAATCAATTATAATATCTTCTACACAGTCCTATGAAAGCGATTTTTTGAGGATGTGTAGATATTTTGAAAGTATGGTACAATTTTAGAAGAGGGTACCACGACCGGTTTCGATCTTGCTCAAGGATCTCCTCAGGTGGCTTAAGACATCTTAATCGATTGCGAAAATCAATTAAAATATCTTCTACACAGTCCTATGAAAGCAATTTTTTGAGGATGTGTAGATATTTTGAAAGTAGGGTACAATTTTAGAAGAGGGTGTGGGTGTGGGTGTGAAGTAGCTGCCATGACCGGTTTCGTCCTTGCTAAAGGGACTCATCAGATGGCAAATTTATTTTGAATTTTTCATAAGAGGAAAAATCCAAGACAAGATATATCTTCAAAGTTTAGAAGTGCGACCGTAGCGGTTGCCCTCTTCTTTTTTCATGAATTGCTGGTTTAATGTAATTTGTGAGATGAATACGATATTCGTCCACAAATTTATGTCTCAGTTTTTGGGGAATGGAAATAACAGTTATGTTTCTGTGCAAGTCTTTGCTGTAGTGGCAAATTGAATATGAAGTAAGAGTTGAAGAAGCTCAGTGGTATGAGTTATTAGGGATTCTTATATGTATTCATTTTTTGGAAGGCAGTTGGATGTGTTTGTGTGAATTTGAGAAGAATACAGTGAGCTATAGTAGTGGAAGGATCCTGAAAATTGGTTTTATGATATTCTGGTATGGATCGATTGCAATCTTTTTTGAGCTGATTTTGTTTTAGCTTTAGTAGGATTATATCTTTTAAGAACTGTGTAAGATGTATGAATAGTACGATGGATGAGAGTCTGAAGAGATTGGTGTGCAAAAGAGTCTATTCGAAGCATGCATGAATTGTTTGGTATAAATAAGGAACATAGGTTCGATTATGGGTTTTTTCTATGAGAATGGATTTTAAAAAATTTACCAGTAATGATATGGTAGAGATTGGATCGAAGAATATATATGCAATGCGTATATTTGGTTTAAAATAAGTATGAGTGAAGTTATGATCGTTATTTGATTGTTGTATATCATTTTCGTATATTGTTCAGTGCTTAGTGCTTTTTGAAGAAATAATCTATCGAATGTTTTTGAGTACTTGATTACTGTCAGTAATTGGAATTTTTGGAACATGATTATCGGGTTGTTTTTCATAGTTGAAAGACCAGATGAATAGGAAATTCTTAGTATCTTTTATATCCCAGGTCAATGACGCTCGGCAGTAAACGGCCGTTCACTAACCAAATACGGCGAAAAACGGCAACTGTTTACGTCAGTCATATACAGCAGCAGTAAACGATGATTTACAGCATATTACGGCAATCGTACACAGTGTCCGTAAAAGTTCATCGTAAACTACTACCGTAACAATACGGTGACTGTATACTTTGGTCGAAAAACAATGTAAGGCGTCGCATACGTCAGCCGTTTGCGGTGGCTGTTTACAACGGTCGTACCTGATGCTTTACGGCATCCTATGGCAACTGTAAACATTGACCATAAAGTATCGTCGGCAACGACTAGCGTGAAAACACGACGATCGTAAACGCTGGTATTATAAAATGTCGTAAAACACAGTGTACGTGAGCAGTATACGGTAGTCCCTTACGGCAATCGTAAACGACATTTTACGACGATTTTGCGACCGACGTAAACAATTGCCATAAACACCAACTGTGTACGACTTCTTAACAATATACCGATTGTATACGTTCATCGCATAATATCGCGACGTAGCGTCTTTCCTTATTGTAATTCATTCGATATAGAATCACTATTTGTTATTGTATTTCATCGCAAACGATCGTCAATGTCGGCCAATTTCTAGTATTGAATATCAATAACATACTCTCATAAAAGCGTATACTAGTCCACAGCTAACAAAAGTTGCGTCTCCACAAAGTCGAGAAAGAGTCACGGGCGTTTCCGCAGTGTACCTTAATCGGAAAAAGTCTTTTTTGAGTCTTTTTCAGCCACCCCTTATCCGATACATCGAGGCGTCCCTCCTGTTCACCGTCATTCGACCTCAGAGCACATTGTGAGCAACAAGTAAGAAAAATCGATCTTCAAACACTATTACTTGACCTACCAAAAGTCTTCCCGGCGGTCTTCTTCAGCCTCACCGTACTCCAAATATAGGGCGGCACCGCCTATCAACCCCCGAGTCGCTTGGGTACAAGGCTTCAGTAACAAGTGCGAAAAACCGATTTTACAGCATCGTTACTTGCCCTTTACAAAGTCTTCCTTTCACTCTTTTCAGGCCCACCTTGCCCAATATACATGCGTGCACAGCGTGGTCGTGGTCATTTGAGTCCAGAGTCAGGTATGAGTAACAACTACCAACCATAGATTTTTTGGGAGTATTATTTCATCAAAAAAACAGTCTTTTTTAGTTTTCTCAAGTCTCACCCCCTCTTATATAAAGGCTTGCACCACGTGCTCGTCGTCATTTCAATTGAGATTCAGGTATGAATAACAACTATGAACAATAGATTTTTGACGAGCATTATTTGGTCAAAAAAGAGTCTTTTGTGGAACTCATGTATATTTTCGAAGAAAATAGTGAGTGTAAGTTTTCAGTTCGAGGTTTGGCGGCTCCCCCTCCCCTCTCCACCC